CAAGGTAATATATATTAATTTATATTAATATATATAATTTATATTAATTTAAAATACCCATCCCCTACTCATAGCATTTTGAACTTCCTTATAGACTTTGCAAGAAAAAGTCTAAACGAGGAAGAATTTAAGATGAACATATCTCTCTCTCTCTCTCTCTCTCTCTCTCTCTCTCTCTCTCTCTCTCTCTCTCTCTCTCCCTCTCTCTCCCTCTCCCTCTCTCTCTCTCTCTCTCTCTCTCTGTGTGTGTGTGTGTGTGTCAGGCATATACAGAGACTTTGGGGTCAGGGATGCACTGTTTTTTTTAAAAAGGATGGAGATAGGAAAATTCAAGACTAAAAAAAAAACAAATGCTGTATATTCAACATTTTAAAAATGTTGAATATATGGAAATGCTTGAACTGAAGGAGAGGGGGACAAAGAAATCATATGTGAAAAGCAGCTTATAATTCTGTGTGCACACAACTATTTCTGTATTTTACAAAATGACTCATACTCCGATTTTACAGCATTGCCTCATCACGTTTTCAGAGGTCCACTTGTTTCAGCTGTTCTTTCTATTTTGTGTTTATTTTTTTTAGTTCAAAACGAAACATAAAAACGAGGCATTTATCTTTTAAGCATAAATACCTCTCACAACTTTGACTCGCGTTTTTGAAGAACGGTTCTGTTTTTGCTTCTCGCCTCTTTTGGCACCAATGTCCTGAATTGCTTCTGCCCAGTTCTGATAGTCCATATAAAACGCCCTCAAAATTCCTAAATGGATATTAGAGACCGGTGAATTCTCTGTAAATAAAAACTTTTTTTTTTTTAACGCGCATAATTAACGGATAATTTATTACCCTCAGAGAATTCCCACTTTAGGCCAGCCTGATCTTCCTATGCGTAACTTTTACCCGGGAAGGAGATGCGTCGCTGTTTCTTGGACTTACCACAGCCAGCCATATGCTTTCGCGTTCAGAAGGGAAACCTATCCGCGTCAATCAGGATGCTCATCGATGGGATCGCAGCCTAGATAGGCAGAGGGGAACTGGCAGGGCCGCAGAGGGTGCAGTGTGGCTTCTCCCGGGTGAAACTGAGCCTTTCTTGCAGACAGAAGATTATGGCTGTGCTGAAGATCTCCTCGCTCCTCGCCGTTTACGCTTTGGTGGCCTGCCAGATGGAGAACGGCCAGGCAGTCCCGCTCAGGTAAGAGGCAGCCGACAGCGGACGCACCTGCAGCCCTTGGCAGGAGAGCGTCGAGGTTCCCTCCCGACGGGGGCGCGAAGCGAAGAAGTCCTCCGACGGGAAGGAGCTCGGTTAGGAGAGGGGGCCAAAAGAAGAAGGGTTAAGGGCCCTCGGCAGGCGCGGATTGGGCTCCGCGGGTTCAGTTCACCCTGGATTACCCACCGGCTTTTAGGGGACAGTCCTCCCCCACCTTTCTTTTTCCTTTCAAAAAGTATCCGATCGGTCACCCCACTTGCCTCGCCTCCCCTCCGGGGTGGCGAGACCGAAAGTAGAAAGCGGAGTAAAAAAAAACCAAAACAAAACGTGCAAGCGCATAAGCCCAGCAGCAAATCACAATCCGTGGGCCGCGTTGTGATTTTCTTCCCCCGGCCAGCAAACGGATCGCCCGCACAGCCTTCCCCCATCGGAAGCCCTCCGGATGCAGCGGGCAACAGTATTCCTAACGCCACCCGCCACCCCCCCCACCTCCCAGCCTGCGTAACCCCCTTGGTTGGGAGAGAGGCGAGTCGCACTCCACGCCAACCCCGGGGGAGGAGGAGGGGGGGGAATGGCTGGCGGGCGCCGGCTGGAAAAGCCGCTCCCTCCCGCCTCTGATCCCACCCAGGCTCACGGTGGGGAGGAGAAGCGCCGCTCCAGAAGAGCGGCGCTTTCAGGGCGCGCTTGTCTTCCCGCAGAGCGGGCTTCGAGCCTGTCACCGACCGAGACGCCCTGGGGGACTACGAAGCTCGGCGGTTACTCAACGCCCTGGTGAAGGAATACGTCCAGATGACCGCGGAAGACCCGCTCCAGAGCAGCGAAGGCAGTAGGTAAGAAGCTCTGGGCTTCCAAAGCGTCGTTGCACCCTCCCCTCGTCTCCTTCCCGGACACCAGCTGGGGGGGTGGGGGGGTGGGGGAGGCAGAGCGCCTTCGTGGTGGGCAAGCAGCCGGGCATCTTTTGCCTCTCGAGGATGCCTTTCCCCGACTTCCGACCAGGCGCCTTGCAACGACCGAGGGTGGGCGATCCGAGTGGCGGGGCCTCGCTTCTCCGCTCATTTTGCTCGCCAACTTACTTAAGTATATCCGTTTATCCGTCGGTCGACTACGGATCTACAACTGTCGTACAAATGTATGTATGTACACACACATGCAGCCACATGCACACGAAAGGCTTTGGAGCGCAAAGAGAAAGGGTTTTTTTTTTTATATAAAATGGGAGAGCCAGAGGTAGGTCTTGGATTTCTTCCTTTCTGTTTTCCCCCCTCCTCCCCTTCCTTAAGAACCGAGCCCGGCCGGACTCAGTCCTTCTCCCCGGCCTTAGTGGCCGTGGAGAGGGAGGCGGCGGAGAGCGAGAAGGACCTTTGACATGGGAGGAAGGAAAAAAGATTCTTTGCACGTAGCGCCCCCTTCCCTGACGGGCCCAGGCTTCCCGCTGCCACCTGCGGTTTCCTACTGAACTCCCCTGGTGAAGCATGAGGAATGGTTGAGCCTCAGCGACGCATGCATTACCCTCCCCCCCCACCCCGGAATTGCTAACACTTCCAACGTCCCCCCCTTCCCTAACTCGTTTGTTTGACCGGGCAATGGCTCACTAGCGCCTCCTACCCCCTGCTCCGACGTTTCTTCGGATTGACATTGCATGGGGCTTGCGCCTCTAGGCACGGCGTGGAGATGGGCTTATATGAATAAGAGGCTCTGAGAAGTTCTTTTGTGGGGGGGGGGGGGGGGGGGGGGGGGGGGGGGGGGGGGGATAAGGCATGACTACGCATGTGTTTTCTTGCTTTCCTTTTTTTTGTCCCCCCCCCCCCTTTCCCGGTTACTTTGTTCAGCATGTTTTTCCCCCTTTGCAGCTTGGATAGACCTATTTCCAAACGTTGTGCCAACCTGAGCACTTGTGTGCTGGGCAAACTGTCTCAAGAATTGCACAAGTTGCAAACATACCCTCGTACTGACGTCGGGGCTGGAACGCCTGGCAAGAAAAGGAATGTGTTGAGTGAGCTGGAAAATGAACGCTATGCAAACTACTGAGGAAGCCCCCTCGGAAGCAACTAGATGGGCTCGGCTTCCTCTTTGATTTTATTTTTTTCCTCTTTTTTTTTTTTGTTTCCTTCTTTTATTTAACTTGATGCATGATGTGGATCTAACCTTCACTGCTAACTTTGCTGTGTTCTTTTAGATCTGAAATGCTTGGAGTAGAGCAAAGTCCAAGTTGTTAGGAAATTAAGGACAAAACGCACACCCCCGCACACTTGTTGTAGGGAGCTGGGGAAAAGCAGAAGCCAAATTCAAAGTGCATCGGAGTAAAACATTGCCTTGAATTTTCAATTGGTTTTTTTTTTTTAGATTCTTATTTTATGAATAATAAGAAAGCATCATTTTTTTTTATTTGAGGCTACTCATTGTAAAAAAATGAAATAAATAAATGTTTCTTTCACGCCCGATCATGCAACTGTTCAATAAATCTATTTTTCTATAAGGAATAGGTCTATGTCCTGATTACACATTATTTATACCATTTTTAAAATGTGGGGTTTGTAGGAAAATTTAAAGAGTTTTCATCCAGCTATAAGGAAGACAATAGGGATGTTTGCAAGTTTTTGCTTAATTAAGAGTGTTTTGAAAGAGCTACATATCTGATTAGTTCTGGATGAATCATTAAGGTGATAACTTTCATCCAATGAAGTCAGCAAAAGGGGTCACACTGAGTTTGATAGTATGAACTTACAAATCTGTTCAGAAATGTAGAAACACAACAACTGGTTTCCAAATGTGAGCAATGTTGTTCAGTTACAAAACTTTTATTCTGTTTGACTTCCTCCAGGTAAGAATTTTAATCTTATATTTCTATTTATGTATTTGATTGTTCATGAAGAAGTCACTTATTTTAATTTGACATAACAGCCTGAAGATAATTTAATGCAAGAGAATCCAAAATTACAGAGTATGCCTGTAATTTAAACACTGACTTATACATTTTTTTTGTATTCATTGTGGGAACAATCTTGGCTAAGTTAAACATTCAAATCAATGAGACTGATTTTTGTCAGAGATGAGCAACAGAAAAAACAAGTTGGATCACAGCCATGGTCAATCTGATATCAGACAAATATATCATGTATCATTTAGACCAGGGGTAGGCAACCTTGGCTCTTTTATGACTCGTGGACTTCAACTCCCAGAATTCCTGAGCCAGCCAGGAATTCTGGGAGTTGAAGTCCACGAGTCATAAAAGAGCCAAGGTTGCCTACCCCTGATTTAGACCACACTGATATCTTATATGCCCAGAAATGGTATTACATTAGGAAATGTAGACCCAGGAGATGAAGGCAACAGCCCTCATATGCAGTGGCATTGGCCAACCCTGATGCTACAGGACTGCAATCCTTGGAAATCCAGGGTTTGGGCCCTCTTAGAAAAGCTGTAGGTTATCCTCCCTACAGTTCTGGATTTTGCTAGGTTGGGGAAGAATATGCAATGATTTGGTTTTTCTACACTCCATGGTATGTTAAGAAAGAAATATTTTCTAGGTCTCAGACTAGCACTGATGATGTTACCTAGTTTGGGTAATGAAACATCTGCAAGAAAACAAGCAAGCTCAGAGACCACCAAGGACCCTTCAGAAGTCTTTTCCATTCACCATCACATAAAATTGCTTGGCCTTCTTGAGATTTTGTCAACATAAGTTTGGGGAGAGGCTGGGATTAGGTAGCAGGCAACACAACACATTATTTTATAAAATAAGATAAGGTTTAAATCAGAAGTTTGCATCAAAGATCTTAACTCTTAATTTCTTTTTCTTTTTTTGAAAAAGCATAACAGCACAAAAGCGAGCATGCAACACGGCAACTTGTGTGACCCATCGTTTGGCAGATTTCCTGAACAGATCAGGAGGTGTGGGAAAGAACACATTTGTACCTACCAATGTCGGAGCTCATGCTTTTGGTAGGCGAAGAAGAAGTGTACAAATCTAATCTGCTGAATGATTCCTGGGATATGGTAAGTGTATGGTTAAATGATGTTGGGATTCTATCTCCTCGGTGAATATGTTATTTTACAAATATTTGAACAGATTTGTGATTTCATCTAATTCTTTTAAAGGGATTATTATCCTTCTATAAGCCTATGGCTATTAGCAAGTCTAAGAGGATATTTAGTGTAGAGAGAAGATAGTAATGAGAATTTTTTTTAAAAAAAAGATGTAACCTTTAGTTTAGACTTCCTGAACCTGGTGTCCTCTCAGTGCACTAAACCTCAACTCCATAATTTCATTTCTTATCTCTGAAATCCAATTTACGTGAGCTCTGGCTCTTCTAGTGGTATTACCATAGTAGAATTACTCCTTTTAAATAATTGAAAATGAGGGTTGCGAAAACCAGCTATTCATTGTTGGACTAGGCTTTCTTCCTTATAAGTGGATTTGGGGTAGGAATCCAATGATTTTTTTCACTTGGAAAAAGAGTGAATATTGTATTAAATCTAAATACGTCACTCCAAAACCAGCATTATTTTGATTCAGAGATCTTTTGCTTGTATAACTTAAACATGTTATACAGCCTCGTCATGCTGTCATTTTGTAATTTCATTTCCAATCCCCATATTAATTTTATTGCCATTTTAAAATTTAGTAAATGGCTTGTGCAATTTCAGATAATTAGGGTGTTTTGTTTATAGAGACATTCCCCTCTTGCTTTCTTCTTTTCTCTGACCTCTGGAGTGCTGAAATGGTTTTGAGAAGCTGCAGCTTCATTCCCTTTTTAAGCCCATGTGGAGCAGAGAGCATGGTGGACATGAAGGAAGCTGTGATGCAGTGGTGGGAACTGCAGAAGTGGGATGGGATGTCCTGTTTGCCAAGTTTGGCAGAAGTGAATCCACTTGCTTTCATAGATACCTGCAATTGGTCTGCTCTATGACCATTCAGACTGCAAGACAGAAATGTGCATCTAGCATAGTCTCACTTAAATGTGGAAAAATTTTGGTAATTATGCTATCCTTTCTACTATAACTGCCCAATTATACTGTTTGGGAAGAGGCTTTCTTAAGAGAAATTGTTTATATAGAACAGAGACAAACATTAATTTTGGAACCCTTTTAAAAACTTCTTTAAAACATTTATATTTGGTAACTTTGCAAAATGTATGCCATCCTTACCCCATAACAATCTGATGTGGCTCCTCTTTATTTATTCAGGATATTATCCTATTTTAACTATGGAACATAATTAAATAAGAGAGCTATAAGTCTAATGACCTGATAATTGCAAAGAAAAAAAGAATGCATCTTTAAGCTTGGATTTGTTTGTGTTTTTCAGCTGCCATGAAACCGAGCAACGAACACCTTTTAATTTGTCTTGAAAGCAACTTCCTTTCATAATTCAGTATGGCTGAATAAATTATTCATTTTCGCATCCTTCCACTGTTGAAGAAATGTTTTGTTTTAAAATTAAATTAACTTAGGTTATATAATATATATATATATCTATATCAAATAATTATTCAATTATTGTATATTCTTTTTATAAGCAATTCTATTTCAAATAAAATGTGATAGCATCTATTTATTTATTTATCTTGTAGCATATCTGTGAAATTGATCCATGTTATTTATCTTGGCAATGCTGTGTTGCCAAATCTCGGGGATTACACTAAATTGCTGCCTTTCAAGGTATATATGTGTAAGAGGTGGTGTGCTATGCCTTGATGTAAAACATTTAACTGACATGAGTGTATAATATGTTTAAAATACATTTACAATATTGTATTTATTTGTGAATTTATGCAAGATTAAAAAAGTATTTTAGATACACATAGATTGAGAAATGGATCTTTTATTTAAACCTTTTTTTAAAGGATATTCTGCAGTTTTCTTTGAACCTGGATTCAAGGGAATTGAGATAAAGTCTAGTATGGAACTTTGATTTTTCTGTGAAATGGCTGGTGCTATAGGAAGGTAAAGACCATAACATTTGAATATACAGAATGAATAAACACACTTATTTTTCTAGAAACTTGCATACATGAAGCCAGATTTTTCATTCCATGACTTCTCACTTAGCCTAAGAGTCTTAAGCCTGCATATAACTATTATGTGCTACCCAAAGACAAAGTGTTCTATAGTGATATAATGCAGAGAAACCCATAGTATTTATCTTCAGTATTACGAGTGTAAATTAACCAAGGGCAGCCTGTGCAATACTGAAGGAAAATTCAGGCTTCCCTGATCATCTCTTAGCTAAAATTCTACTGTATGTGCACTAATCTTAGGATCAAACTATGAAGTATATTAATCATAAACCACACAGTAACTCTAACTCCTGGACTTTACATTTGTATAAAAATGTGCAGGTTGGCTGGAACAAACATTTTCTGTACTGGCCTCTTGATTTGGAATTTCCCATTTCTTCCATATAGGAATAAATGAAGAAAAAAAATCTTCCTTCCCTACTTAATTACCATCAAATTATTTTCAGTGGGGAATTTAACATAAACAAAAAGCTTATTTTCAGGGGAAGCCCATGCAACAGCTCTTGGGTCAAGGATTTTGCAAAATGGGCGGATTATCCATCACATCATAGTTTCTCAATTTAGAATTGCTGGGTTAATAAAACACTGATTCCTTCTCTTCTTCCTATATGCTCACTGCCTCGTGTAATTTTAAATAATGTCTTGCCTCAAAGATTACTGTCTCATGACTGGTTGAAAGCTCTACGCATTCCTTTTTAGGTCAGAAAAAAACCCTTACTATCATACATTGGGAGATCCTGATTATTTACTGTATCCTGATTTTGCAGTCTCTGTAAGAGCTTGGGGCTAACTTATATAGTCCTCATTGGTTGTTTGTGACAATACATCCCTATCTGTTTTGCTCTCCTGTGTTGCCTTTTTGCTTTGTCAATATCACCTGCGGGCAGGAAACCTGCACAAACTGAGGTGCTGTCAAAGGAAAAGAAAATTATTTTTTAATTCGCTATTTCAGATTTGCACCATTTCACCTTTATGCAAATCACAAACCATTCCTTCTTTATTAGTTGTATTTCTTAATCCTGATTGGGAGCCAAAAAAACTAGACTATTCCTAGATTGC